TCTAGTCATTCACATCAATCCATGAGACAAACAAATTGGTTAAATGGGGGCACACCCAGTCACGGGGAAATAACAAGCAATGTTCCCAAAAGACACTGCCCCACCCTACACCTGGCTTGTTAGCCACCACCAACAGCTTTCAGCACTACCCCAACCAATCTGGAATCTGCTATGAGACTGGATTTTAATCTCGTTTGCTTTAAAATAGTTGTATTTGAAGAAAATCACTCAAAAAGGATATATGAAAGTATGGAATTGAAGAACATTTTTTTTTCTCCCCCAAAAAATGGCCTATGTTTTCTGGGGTTTAGAAAATTTAGAAGTGATCTCATCGAAGCAATTAGGTACAGAATACTGACAGCCCCGAAACAGGCTCTTTGGCCCATCCAATCTATCCTGGTATTTATTGCTCTATACGAGCCTCTATCTCATCCCATTAATCCAGCCTTCTACTACTTTGTTCTTTGTTTATCCAGCTTCCATGGAAATGTACACAAATAGAGAATGCAGGAGAAACTCAGCAGGTCTGGCAGCATGTGTGGAGGGAGATTCTGGTCAAAGAAGTGTCTCCCTGATTCATTAATGACTATGTTTTCTTTGTGACCCTTGGGTCTGATCTCACCTTCAAGAATGGATATCTTGTCCATCCTACCAAAACCAAATGAGTTCCCTGATTGGGTCTGTTAACTTGGTCCAATCAGGGAGCCCTGGCTGACAGAGATACTGACACTCTGGTAGCTGACTGTGTATGAGGTAGTACTAAAGTGAAGGACTGTTCATGTGTAAATAAAGGGTGACTTGGTGATGGGATACCAGCCTATATGGGGTTATTTCACCTTGGAGTGAAAATTGTACACAGAAGGGCACTTTAAACAGATGCTGATCTCTAAAGTCGGGCAATTTCCCAACTCGAGCTACCTGCTTGGCAAGAAAATCCTCATATCCTATCTCTGATGGTGCAACAGAAAGAGGGATAGACAGCATTATCAGGGTCATATGAGCCAAGACTGGAACAAAGATGGAGAGGAGCAAGGCACGCAATGGGGCAGGGAAGTGGAAAGATTGGTAAATGATTCACTGGAATGGTAATAATCAGTGCACTCAGAGATGGCAGGTCAATGAGGTGACCGAGATGTAGAATACATGAGAACACGGAAACTAGTGATGCAGAAATTGGAAGAATTGAAACCTGGAGAGTATTATAAATGCCATCTGGATTCCAACAACAGTCTGTTCAAATTAATTATCAGCAAGTAGAAGATACCCAGTTGAAAACTCAACATTGTAATCAAACCTTAAAAATTAACAAGCTGTTTGTGTATTTTAAGGAGCAGTTACATGGATCCAGAAGTGCTTCATTCATGTAAAAAAGATGCACTTTCACACATTCACACTCTGAATATTACTTAAGAAAAAGATAATAACTGAAGAGCCAAGTAAGAGGCAACTGGAAAGGCAGTGAAAGCAAATTGAACAAATTGACTTTCTCAAGGGAATTGGATGGACTGCAACTGTTCAAGAAGGCAGCTCACTACTGCCTTCTCCAGGATAATTAGGGATGGGCAATAACTGCTGGTCTAGCCAGCAACAGCCATTTCTCAAGAACACATAAAACAAAAACTCAGTTTTAAAAATGCACACTGGCAACAAAATTGTTCCTTTTATCATAGAATCCCTACAGCATGGAAACAGGCCCTTCGGCCCAACAAGTCCACACCGACCCTCAGAGCATCCCACCCAGACCCATCCCCCACAACCCACCTAAACTACCCATTACTGAATACTACGGGCAATTTAGCATGGCCAATCCACCTACCC